AAAAAAAAAAAAAAAAAAAAAAAAAAAAAAAAAAAAAAGGACAACTAGAACAGTTACTTGTTTCAATACTTAAGATATCAAGACATTAATTCTTGAGAAAAGCATTCTGTTGTTTAGGCAGTAAACCACATATCCTGAAGGCAGCCCTCCCTAGGTCAAACCTTCTAATTCAAAAGAAGAAGCAAAAGTGTGCTTGAATTCTCTGACCTTTGGTCAGGGTGAAGTGAATCTAGGCCTATGGGCCATATTAATGTCCAAAACACCAAGTAACCACACCCTAGGTCAGGGCGTGTAGCCACAGTTGTTGTCAACAACTTTGAACACCCTCAAACTCTCTGACCTTCAGACAAGATGGAATAGGCTCACATTTTTAGGCCTCCACAAGTGAGCTATGTTTCAATAAGGTAAAATCCATTCTAATGATAAAAAGGAAACACGGGGACCGGGGCCAGTAATATAGCTGGTCCTCCTCATCATCAAGAATTTACTGTGCATAACTGCATATGGTACACATTGAAGGGCAATGCAAATCCATCAATGGCTTTATTAACAATGCCATAACAAAGATATAACCTGCTGTCTGAATAATCCTAGTAGGTTGTCAAGCCAGTAAAATTGTCAGGGTAAATGACATTCTTAATCATTTCCAAAAGTTTATTTTCAGGGTCACCACAACTTCAGAGCATCAAAATAAATTCCATCTCTCCAATTTATAAGAGCTGCTGTTTGATCCCAACACTGAACCCTCAGGTGTGAAGTCTATCTATTTTAGAACTGATATCAGGGTGCCCACCCCTTTATCATTTTGAATGTCTTTGAACTATAATATAGTTCCAGTGTGGATTTAGAAATACAGTGGACTTTGCCTTCAAGGGTAAATTTTATTTCTAACATAGCTAGTCTTTGGAAAAATGTTAAGAGGAATCTTTTACAAAATATTTACTTATTTGTTGAGAGAGAGAGAGAGAAAGAGAGAGAGAGAGCATGTTGGTGTAATGCATGCAAGCGAAGGTCAAAGGACACATTTTGGGAGTCTTTGGTTCTCTCCTTCCACAATGGGATCTGGGGACTGAGCTCAAGTCATCAGGCTTACACAGCAAGTGGCTTTAGTCTGAGCACCTCTCAGGTCCTAAGGAATTTTTTCTAAATGCACATACAAATCTATAAAATGCAGCCAACAAAGAGTTACAGAAGAACTATCTAAAAATCATAACTTTCTTTAGAAATTGCAATAAAGCAAAGATGGTTCCTTGCTCTAAATAGATCCCTGCATAACCCAGATTTGTAATTTCATATGATTTATATGATTTTTTTTCCTATCATCTGTTCCCACTCAGCTATACATTCTGTATCTTAGCTTGGACTCCTAGGGAGCAGACTATGAGAGAAGACAGACAGGAGGGTTTGGCCGCAGCCTACAAAGATCTCATGGTCAATTCAGAGGCTGATCATTTCTTCTGAATTAAATCAAATTAAAACCCAAAGACCAAGACTTTATTGTGCTGGATGCAGGATGCCCAAAGGAGGGTGAGTGACTTGGATGTAGGCTCTAGGCTCTAGATTGGATTAAATGAATGTGTGATTTAAACCATGCCAGCTGAATTATTTTTTTTTAAAAAAAGATGTATTTATTATGTATACAGCATTCTGCCTCCATGTGTGTCCACACACCAGAAGAGGGCACCAGATCTCATTACAGATGGTTGTGAGCCACCATGGGATTGCTGGGAATTGAACTCATGACCTCGGGAAGAACAGCCAGTGCTCTTAACCACTGAGCCATCTCTCCAGCCCCCTGAATTCTTTCAAGATGTCATTAACAGAAGAGATGGCTCAGTCCATTAAAGGACTTGCCCTGCATGCATGAGCACCTGAATTCAGATCCTCGGAACTCACAAATAAGGCTGCTCTCCAACTGTCTTGGAGAAATACTTGAGGCATTTTTTTATGAAGTTTTCATTTATTTAGAGTGCAAGTAGCAAGGCAGCCCACGTCTGTGACCCCAGTGCTGGGGTGACTGTGACAGGCACATTCCAGGGGCTCCCTGACCAACCAGCCTGGTTGAACCAATGAGCTCCAGGTGGATGGGAAACCTATTGTCAATGCATAAAACGGAGAGTAGTGAGAGAGAACACTTGACATGGACCCGAGCCCCCCACACGCATGTGTGCATATATGCATTTGCACAGGCACAAACATGACACGCCTTCAGAGACGATAGAAGGCAATGTTGGTTCTTGTTAATATCTTGTTATCAGTTTCTAAATCTCCCACTTGGTCTTTATTATGATGATATGTCTTGACACAGAGGCCAATGAATCATTTTTTCCCCAAGAGAGGTCATGGCTTCTGCAGACCTAACCAGCTAGTTTTCAATTCTTTGAACTCCTGCCGTTCTTACCATTCAGTTCTAGGCCTCCAGGAAGGCCTTTTGGCTTTCACACAGAGCTCTGAATGACCAATTATGATGGTTGTTTTTGTCAACTTGGCTGGATGGAAAACAATATATTGGTGAGTAAAGCCTGGATGTGTCTGAGGTTCCCAGAGACAATGAAGCCACAAGGGTATAACCAAATGTACTAATTCAATGTACGAATGAGTTAAAAATTTGAGTGGACTATTGGGGGGAATGAGAGGTGGACCTAGGCAGAGGAAGTGGGTCACCGGGACTGTGCCTCTGAGGGTGCACGCTGGCACTTGTCTCTTTGAAGCCCTTTTCTCTCCTTCCTGGCCTCCATTGGGTGCTACTGGCTCCTACTGCCCCATCACGCTTCATCTCAAGTCCACAGCAAGGGGTCTAAATGTTCTAATGTACGAAACTGAACTCTCTCAAACCCTGAGCTAAGGCAACTCTTTTCTCCTTTGGTTAGGGATGTTGACTCAGCCATTAAATCACCCTTATTTTCAAGTCTGCAACAGCGATTAGCAATAGCTGGCCAATTCTTCCATCCTTAAGAGTGGTCGCTTCTATATTTCTCAGTCATCTGAAACAGAAGCTGGGCAGCTCAGCTTACTGCTTGGAGAAGTTGTAATAAATGTGCTACCTCAGCATCCTAGGGGCTGTGGGCTCTGTTTTCCATCACCGAGTGGTGCTCCCATCCTGTAAGCCAGGAGGCAGAAGGAGGTGCAAAATCCCACTGGCTCTCCTTTCTTATGCCACTTCTTCAAGCATCACAGCTTGGGCTTCCTGAGAAGCAAATTGGAGTTGAAATTAGAGGATGGATTAGGGGCTGCTAGCTCTGGCAGGAAAGGAAGGCAGAGGGAGAAGTGGGGATACTGCAAACAAAAAGGCAGTCTCTGGCCACGTGTAGTGGCACAGGCCTTTAATTCTAGCACTTGGGAGGCAGAGACAGGAGGATCTCTGGAGTTCAAAGTCAGCTTGATCTACGTAGTGAGTTCCAGGACTGCTAGGGCTATGTAGTGACGCTGTTTTAAAAAAAAAAAAAAAAAAAAAAAAAAAAACAAATTCAAATCCAAACCACCCACAAAAAAAAAATACCCACAAGGCAGAGTAAACTGTCCCTGTGTATGGGAACTCTGGAACTGAGATAAGCATTATAAGATCATCCCAATGTGGGCAGTACGGTGAGTCTCTGAACGCAGGCTGCCTAGAAAGGATGACTGACTGGTGGCTGTCCCCAGCTCGAACAAGCATGGAGACCTCTCATAGAAGATCAGCCACGCTCCCAAAAGGGGATAGGTCATCGTGCATTTAAGAATCTAACCTTTTCCAGCCTTTCCCCGCAACTTTTCAAATGCATGTATTTTGACATTTATGTATTGATTGATTGTATGTGTGTGTCATAGCACACCTGTGGAGGTCAGAGAACCACGCGTGGGAGTCAGCTCTCTCCTTCCTCCATGTGGTTCTGAGAATCAGCGAGCTGTCAAGGTTAGCAGCAAGCCCCTTGACCCACTGAGCCATCTCCTGCTCTTTTTCTAACCTTTAAATCAAGTCAAATCTTTGAAATATTCTGGTAAAAGAATCGAATGAATTGGAAATGTTTCTGTTGTCATCATTTCTGTAGTAACCCTTTTTCAAACCACTAACTCACCAATCAATGGCTGTGTCAAGAAAAAACACAGTGTTGCATAGGATTAGGATTGACTGCAAAAATCAAACAGTGATGCCCACAGATATCTGTAGATCGTCCTTCAGCTACAGAATTTTACCTTTGAATTTCTGCAGTAAGCTAGCGGCATGCAGATAACAAGCCATCCAAACGAAAATGTTCATCAGAGCGCTCACCTACAAAGAAGAAAGCTACGATCAAATAAGTAGCTATTTAATAAAATGAGCGGAGCCCCCGTTATAAGAACAGCTCTTTATTCAGCGGTTTCAAATGCACAGCACACCAACCACGTTTCCCTGAAATCCAGCAGTGACATTCAACACAAGCCTCAACACTCTAGTCTAAAGCAGGATTCACGTCACAAAGCCTCGCCCCCAAAGGGAGTTTCAGCAGCAGCAAGACTGTTGCTAGCAGGACTTTACCGCCTAATGGTCGGTCAAACACGCAGGTTCATCCAGCGAGCCTGAGCTTGTAAAAGGGGTGCCGCATTCAGCCGTGTGTACAAAGTTTATAAATACAACATACCAGTACAAAGTTGAAGCCATTAAAAAGAGCTGAACAGCAACTACCAGGAGACAATTGGGTCTGGAAGGCCGACGGACCCCGAAGAGACGGGGACAGGGCAGGACCGCTCAACGTGTATCGCAGTAAATGTGCCACTGGGAAGAGGTGCAAGGGGGACGGAGGCACGGCTGGAGAGCTCAGCTGCCCGCTCCTACTTCCTTTCTGCTATTATCTTTAAATACTGGAGGGCATTGTGCGCGGCGTCGCTCTGTGCATTGCTGCAGGAGATGCCTGAGCCATGACACACGGTGATAGGACTGGTGGACAGTTCTGCGAGACACTGATACTGCCCGTTGGCACTCAGTTCCTCTGTAACGACACACATAAACATGACAGTCAGCGCTGGGTGTGCATAAAGCAAATCCTTTAGGAAAGGGCTTTTTTTTTTTTTTTTTTAATTTCTGGTTTTTCGAGACAGGTTTCTCTGTAGCTCTGGAGCCTGTCCTGGAACTAGCTCTTATAGACCAGGCTGGCCTCGAACTCACAGAGATCTGCCTACCTCTGCGTCTTAGTGTTGGGATTAAAGGCCTGTCTCCAAACCAACAATAAAACAAAAAGGAACAAAACAAGTCAGGATAAACAAGAGACCATACCTATGTCCAGATACGTTATGGTAAAGCCTTGCTCCTTGGCAATCTCACTCAGCAGCTGGATGTAGTCTGTGTTCGGGAGACTGAGGAGGCTTCTTTTTAGTAAGTTGATCTTTTCACCAGGGGAATTCCTCAACGAATGCCAAGTACATCCTAGGGAATGTCCGACCATATTCGTCTAAAAAGCAGAGATGAAGGAGATTCAGCTTCCTATCTGCCCCCACCCCCAGCATCAGCGCCAGTGTAACTGAAAGCACTGGTTAGGAGCTGGAGAGACAGCCCAGGGCTTAGAGCACCGACTGCTTTTCCAGAGGACCTAGGGCTTAAAGCATAGGCTGCTTTTCCAGAGGACCTAGGGCTTAGAGCACAGGCTGCTTTTCCAGGGGACCCAGGCTTGTTTCTTTCCAGCATTAGGTCTAGGAGAGACACTGCCAAAAGAAAGGCTTTTATTTTGATAAGTTCTTCCAACTTGGGCCAGAAAGGTGGCTCCGTAGATGAAGACTCTTGATATCAGCAGGTGAGGACTCTTGATGCCAAGTCTGATGCCTGAGTTTGATCCCTCAGACCCATATGGCAAAGGAAGAGAACCGGCTCTTCCAGCAAGCTGCCCTCTGATTTGCACACATATGCCCCCCCATACCCAAATAAATGTAAGAAATACTTCCTGTTCGATTTCAGAACTAATTCACAAAAGGAGCTTGTATTTTCACACTCTCGCTAATACCAGTTAGTTATTAAACACTGTAGCTTTTACTAACTTGAAAGGTAAAACTATCTTATTTTGCATGAATAAACTGAATATTTTCCTTTTCTTTCTTTTGTAATTTCCTACTGGGATTTTTTTTTAATTTATGTGCATGGACTTTATATGTATGAACACTGGCTTCTTTCTCTGTTTTAGTTATATTGCTTTTATTTACAGAATTTTGGCTGTATACTGTAGATTACAGCCAAATTCATTTGTTTTCTAGTCTAGATTTTAAGTTATAGTTAAAACCTTTCCATACCTAAGATTTTTTTTTGAGAAGATATTCCATGTTTTCTAATACTTACAGTTGTATTTATGCTTAGTCCTTGATCTGTCTGGGACTTACGTTGGTTCTGGGATAAGCAACTGACGTACATGACAACATAGATACAAAGACACCATCTGGCTCCCTCCCACAGGGCTTTCAGCTGTCTGCCTCACAGCTGAGCCACCCCTTCCCTTCCTGCTCTGAAACCACTGCCGCCATCACTAGGTGTCTGTGCACTTGCACCTGCTCCTGAGTTCCGTTCTGCACTCCCACCAGCACCCCGTGGTTTTACAGTTTCACTGTTTGCTTTATTCTCTGGGAAGGCAAGCACCCTAGCCCACTTCAGATTCTTGCTTTCTAGGGCTCTTGGCTCCGCTCAAGGATCTGCCTTTTGCTTTTTCCAGATAAACCTAGTAAAATCCTTGTGAGTTTCAAACTGAAGTCTGGCAGATGTAGAGTAAGACAACAAATATATACATTTTTACATATTTACTATATCAAGTGTCTGAAAAGAAATAAGGCCACATTAATCTAATTTTTTTGTTATATTCTTCAGGAGGGTTTTTAAGTGTTCCTATGTGTCCAGTTTTTTCTATTCCAGTTTACCTCAACATAACGCTCCGATTTAATATTAAAAATGGATTTTATGGGTTTTTTTTTACACTTTAGCTCTTGCTTTATAAATAAGAATATTATTGACTTTTTTCTAGTATACCTTTTCTTTTTTTTTTCAGAATAGATTTTCCATTTTTTCGGAAAGTGTCAAATTTTGTTTTGGGGTGTGCATGTGTGTGTGTGCGCGCGTGTGTGTTGTATGTATGGTATATGTGTGCACGTGGTATGTGTGAGAATGTACCTCCACATGTGTCAACATTCTCCACCTTGTTGTTTGAGTCGGAATCTCTCCCTGGGCCTGGAGCGCACAGATGCATCTGGACTGGCTTCCCAGCAAGCCTCGGGGGTCCTCCTGTGTCCGTCTTCCCAGCACTGGGACATAGGCCACTGGGCCTGGCTTTAGAGAAGTGCCACATTTCTGAGCTTAGTCCTTCTGGTGGTATGGCAAGCACTTCACAGACTCAGCCATCGCCCAAACTCTCGGGTTTTTGGCAGCCTATGTACATCTACTCATAGACAAAAACATTCCAAAGTCCACAAGTAGGAAGAGAAGACAACCCCTTGCTTCATCCTCTCCTCACCTTCAATTGCTTTCTCCAAAACAATAAATTTAACTTTCTCTTTTTAATACTCTAGTTGTTGCTTTCCTAAGACTAAAGAATGTGAAAACTACCGATTTTGTACATTAATTTAATAATCAGTTACCTTGATACATTCTGTTACTGTTTGTAGTAGGTGTTTTGCTTTTGAGAGAGAGTCTCCTGTAGCTCAGGGAATGCCTTGAACTTGTTATGTAGCCAAAGGAAGCTTTGAACTTGGGATCTTCTTGCCTCTACCTCCCAGTGCTCCACTGTACCCAGCTCTCCAGGGGTTTGCAGAAATAGAACCGGATTATTTGCATCTAGCAAACACTTCTGGCTCACCCTTTCTTGTTTCCAGCTTTACTCTGTTCCCTGTCATCTAATCGCGTTCTTGATATTTCCAGAACAAGGTCAAATAAAACCTCTTACTTGATGTCCTGTTTTATCTTCTATTTTAATGAGACGATTGTAATGCAGACATGTAACCACAATTTTAATATTTTTGGACTTTGTTTTTATCAGTGATGATTGCTACAATTATCTTTTAAGCATCTATTGAAGAGATTGTTTCTCTTTTTCCTATAAGTGAACCATAAGTTCTGTGAGGATACTGCTGCCGTTGAGCCACCGTGTAGGTGCAGGGTACTGAACCTGGATGCTCTTAGCCACTGAGCCATCTCCCCAGCTCCTCTAAAACTCATTTTAAAATATACTCACTTCTCTCCACTTCCTGTGCCTCTACCTTAGCTTATGTTATCTTACTGCATCTGTTTTCTATAATATAATAGGGGTCTCTCTGGCCCTCATATTCATTTACTCCCCATAATCCAACTAAGTGATTTCCTTTCTAACAAACAAATTAGATCTTTTTTTTTCCTGCCAAGATAAAATTTGTTAATGACTTGGCACTACCCTCAGTATGAACGGTAAGCTCTTTAGTTAGTCAGTCGATTTAAGACTTGATCTCTCTTTGCCTGCCTGGGCTCACTCTTTGAGAATTCCCTCCTCTGCCACCATGATCTGGACTTACCAACTGCTAACAATTCTTTGACTATATATGGCTTTTTACTCCGGGGACCTTGTGCTTGCCATCTTTGCTTGGAAATATACTTGCTCTACTTTCATCCCGTGTCTCAGCTTAGATGTTACTTCCTCCTGGAGACCATCCTGAAACCCTAGTCTTGGCTAGATGCCTTCTTCCATGTTCTTGTCCCACCCTCCACCTGGACTATCTATAGCATACTGTCTTTTAGTAGGCTGTCAAACTAGTTAGAGGCAGAAGCCAGCTGCATACTGACACAGTACAAGCTCACCAAATGATCATGAAGTGGGCACATAATGAGCAAACCAAGGAATGGCTATATAAAGCAGCACCATTGGTCCGCTGTCTGTGACTTTGCCTATTTGACCCTCGTACATGCTGAGCACAAAGCCATCCACTGAGCCACACTCTTGGCTGAGCTCTCGTTTTCAGACCCCATCCTGAGACTCTGAATCTACTGTGTCTCCCAGGCCCTCTTACTTGAACCAACTCTAGCCCAATCCAGGAGGCAACAAAAATTGGAGTCGCATGTAATTCGACAAAGCTGAGAGTTTTAAAGATGGCAACTCTGAAGTGTTCACACAAGAAATGAAGGGACAGCCGGGCGATGGTGGCGCACGCCTTTAATCTCAGCACTCGGGAGGCAGAGGCAGGTGGATCTCTGTGAGTTCGAGACCAGCCTGCTCTACAGAGCTAGTTCCAGGACAGGCTCCAAAGCCACAGAGAAACCCTGTCTCGAAAAAACCAAAAAAAAAAAAAAAAAAAAAAAAAAAAAAGAAAAGAAAAGAAAAGAAATGAAGGGACATTTCCTGTAGTCAGAGATGCTCAGTCATAATAGAATCCAGTTATCCAGTTGCCTGGTTATTACTTACTAGAGAAATGTGGTTCTCTGGAGAAATATTACTAAATTTGGCAAGAAATTTCTCAGCAGCATTTCTCTTGGCTTGTTTTTTGGATGCTCCCTTTCCTAGGTGAAAGAAAGGAAGAAACAGTAGGTTTAGAAATTAGTGTTCACAGAGTATGGCCAAGTGTTTTATTAGTGAATACCTCAGGATTTTCATACACTGGACCAGAATTTTCTTATTGCACTAACATCTTTATTTGTTATAATATATAGTGTAGATATATCTCAATATACCCTGTATCCAAAGTCCTTCTGTGTTCACCTTTATTAAGTCTGCCACCGCTTAGCTGCCATACTAAAATACACACACACACACACACACACACACACACACACACATGAGTGAAAGCCAGGGTAAGTGCTCTATTGTTAAGCTGTCTCACTAGCCCTCAAACAACCATTAATTATTTTTGTAAATATCTGTGTGTGTGTGTGTGTGTGATGTGTACATGTGAAGACATCTGTGTGTGGCTGGGCCCACTCGTGTTGGTGCCCAGAGAAGCCAGAGGTCAACGTTGGATGTCTCCCTCTGCTGCTTTTCATCTCTGTTACTTTTTGTTGTTGTTTTATTTATTTATTCTTTTCAAACAACATCTTTCCCTGGACCTGGAGCTCGCTATTCAGTGGCACCAGCTTGCCAGCTCACCCCAGGGAATCCATGTGCCTCATTCTGTGCCCCCTGGCCATCAGTGGGTGCTGAGGATTCCAGCTCAGGCTCATGTTTGTGCAGCGAGCAGTGGACCCACTAAGCCATTCCCCCAGCCCAGTTTTTCTTCAATAATTAAACTTTGCAGCACAAAGTGAGTCCTTAGATCTAGCACACGAATCATGTGTGGTTTAATTCTGACCAATGAGATTTGTCAAGTATGCATAAATTATAACCCCTAACTCTTCTTAATTTTAAAATGGTCAAGTGATGCTTCTTTTTTTCACTGAATACTTAGCCTAAAAAGAGCATGGTTCTACCCAGTCTATGAGGAGTGGGCAATTATTTTTCCAACTTACTACAGAGTCTTTGTGGTTGAATTGACCAGATGGCTCTCGGTGCCTGTGAACCGGACCCCTCTGCTTTCATCCCATGATACAATCTCAAAGGCCAGTAAACTCCCTTAAGCCCTACCTCTAATTTCTTGTTTATCATCTTTTATAAGTTGGCAACTATGTGAATTAAAAAAAAAAACATTAATAAGGGTATAGGAGATACTGGATTGAAAGGTTAAAAATCTACTTTTAGGCTGGGTGGTGATGACTCTCTCCTTTAATCCAAGCACTCGAGAGGCAAAGGCAGGTGATCTCTGTGAGTTCAAGGCCAACCTAGTCTACAGAGTGAGTTCCAGGACAGGCTCCAAAGCTACAGAGAAACCCTGTCTTGAAAAAAAAAATCTACTTCTATATTTTAGTTTTATAGATTTACAAACTGAGGCTAGCCAGACATGATAATAGCTCACACCTTTGATCCCAGCACTTGGAAGGCAGAGACAGCTGGATCTCAGTAAAATTCAAGGTCAGCCTGATCTACAAATCGAGTTCTAGAACAGCCAGTGCTACATAATAGAGGGAGAGCCTGTCTCAAAAACAAAAACACAAAACAACTGGAGATATAACTCAGTCACAGAACACTTGCCTAGCGCATGACAGGCGCATGTTAAATATCCAATACCACCAAACAATTAATAAATCAATCAGAAACCCAAGGAGATTATCAGGTTTGCTTAACCCTTTAAATCAAGGACTCCAGGAAGAACAGAAGCCGAGGTCCTGCTTCTGACCCAGGGTTTGCTGCACTGGCTCACACTACCATTTAGGAGGAAACACTGGCTTGTTGTGTCTAATCTCCAGCTAAGGTCTCATCTGTGTAGTGCTGGGGACGGGACCCAGGGCCTCATTTGTGCTAGGTAAGCCTTCTACCACTGCTCTGCACACATCATTCATGCAATCCCATTTTAATCTACTTTAGAAGTGACCAAGCAGGCCAGAGAAGTTAACACGGGAATTCTCACTAGTACTTTTTAAAGGGACGTTTTTTTCATCAGAGCTTATGTCCTTTATAAATCAAAATTTGCTGCAATTAAAAAGGACAGCCTCTGCTATCTCCTTGTAATTTACGATATTATTCTTTATATTTTATGATTTTGGGGACTGGAGTTAGGACCTCATACATGCCAACCAAACATGCTATCATTAAGATAAACACCCTCACTAGCTCGCCACAATTTTTTTTTCGCCGTTTAGTCTCTCATTCCTCACCCAATCTTTCTAGTCCAGTGAAAACTACTTAAGGCAAAGAGCCTACAATTAGCCTGTCTTTTCAGCTACAGACTCATTTTAGAAACATCAAATTCAGAAACATAACTATTCTCGGAAAGTCACAGATAGTATAAAAGAGACATCAATATTCACAAAGCCACATGATAGAAATTTCTATAGCAATTCACCATCTGGAAATATTGCAAATGCCTCTGATTGCAAGTACCTGTTTCCATGAATGACTCTAGCCGGCAAATAGTGGTGTATTCTCTCTTATGAGCAGGGCCTCCTTCCTGGGAAAGGGTATATTCAGGAAGTCGCCAGCCGTGGTGAATAGCCAGTTCCTGTAAAATCAATGAGGTTATGATAGCAACTTTAACTATTCTACGGCTCAGTCGCACAAATGATATTTCTCTTTGATCCTGGTTCTGGTCCTGTGCTTGACAAGAAGCACGGTACTGGCCAACAGAACCCGGAGGAACGCCCTGTTATCCCCATAAGTGATCCCACATCTTATATTCCTTTATCCAATGCCCAAACCAAAGCAGTTTGGTGCCATTGGCGGTACTTTTCTGTTGTGCCATAGTGAGCTGATGCCTGAGTTCACTGAGGAAGGCAGACTACATTTATGGTTTTCTTTCCCTTTTTGCTAGAATTAAGCAATTAAGTGGCTACCTCTCTCCTCTTGAATTTTGTTACGCAGCCATGGTTCTGTGTAAATTCTGTCTTGACAGAAGCAAAAAGAGGGTTTTTTTGTTTTGTCTCATTTTGTTTTTCTTTTCCAAGAGCAGTGAGAAATGCCATATTCTTAAAGCATAAACTCGCTACCCAACTGCTTCTTGACCTTTTAGCAAAGCCAGGAATTAACACTCTACCCTGATACACCAAGGCCTGCTTATACTGAGTGACGATTCCATTAAACAAGGCAAATACTGAACAGGAAGAAAGTCCAAAAGCAAGTTAGTAAGAAAATAATCTCAAACTAGCTATGGACAATGCAATGATCACTGCTTAAAAAACAAAATACTCGTATTGTCTACAGGCCAATGCCTCTCTGCAGCTATTGTTCTTTCTCATTAGCATTAAGAAAATTCAAGATTAATAAAGCATTATGCAATATAAAAAAACAAAAACAAAATACTCATTGCTGGGGCCTAATGACATATGCCGCCGTTAATCTCAGCACTCAGGAGTCAGAGGCAGGTGGAGTTCTGTGAGTTCAAGGCCAGCCTGGTCTACAGAGTGAGTTCCAGGATACCACAGTCACATAGAGAGACCCTGTCTCAAGATCACACACACACACACAAAAGAATGAAAGAAAGAGAAAATGCTCATATTCCCCTCATTATATTTAAACCCATTTGTCTTGGTCTCTGTGATAGTACAAACTCATTACACTTCAGCCAGTAGACAAACAGTATGGGAAACTGACCTACCTGTAACGAGCCGATTGGATTCAGCTGGTTCTTTGGCTGTTTGGATGGATCAGGCATTAAGGGGTCAGGAACTGCAAAACTAAACATTATTTAAAGGTGTTATTAAATAAAGCAATTTCCTCTGAGTTACTAAGTAGATGACAATGTATTCTCCACTCAAGCTCCTCTGCCTAAGCTCCCCCATTCCTCCTATATGGACTGAATGCCCCTCACGCTGACTCCTTTGGGAATCTGATTGACCCATCATCTAAGAGCTAGGTCAGACATCATTTCCAGATGTCGACTCTGTTTCCTCAATGGATCGTGATTTCTCGTTCTTCCTGAAACACTGTACCACCAAAGTCGGTGGCACATGCCTATAACCTCACCACTCTGGAGGCAGAGGCAGGGGGACCAGGAGGTCAAAGCCAGCCTTAAACATAGCAAGTCTGAGTTCTATATTAAAAACAATCTGGCTCTTTAAAAAGTTGTTTAACCATAAATTATCCACTGTTGCACTCAGTCTGTCCATTCCTCTCCTAATTCTTTCTGACTCACATTGAACACTAATTGGTGATAGGGCCTATGTATTACTTACTTACATAAGCTTTGTACATAAAACCGACTCAAAAAAATATTTAAAATGTACATATGGAGGGCTGCGGATCAAAACACTTGCCACTCTAACAGAGAACTTGGGTTTGGTTCCCAGTTCCCATAGGGTCAGGATGGCTAACAACCATCCATAACTTCAACTCAAGGGGATCAAACACCTTTTTCTGTCTACTGTGGGCACCAGGCACACATGTAGTACATATACATACATACAAACAAAATACTCATACACATAAAATAAAAATAAATAAATCTAAAAACAGTTTCAGAAAGAGTGCATGTAACTATAATTTGGGATTATAGAAGAGGGTTGGTTGGACAAGGAGGTGGGGAGAAAGGGGAAGGAGTGATACAGATGCATGCATGAGGTTCTTAAAAATTATATATAATAGTGTGCATATATGAATGTATGCATGTATAAAGTACATTACTTTTATTTATGTACTTTATGTGTATTGGTGTTTTGTCTGAGGGCATCAGATCTCATGGGGCTATAGTTATAGATGGTTGTGAGCCATGTGGGTACTGGGAATGAAACTCAGGACCTCTGGAAGAGCAGTCAGTACTCTTAACCACTGAACCCTCCCTCCAGTTCCTAAAAACAACTTAAAAAAGAAAAAGCACAACCATTAGTCAGGAAACTGTAGCAATGCATTTATCTAGGCTATAAGTGCTTTTTCATCCAGATATCTAAGCAAGAAAAATTTGTTCTGTTATCTGCCTGGTGTAAGGTTAATCCTCTGAGATTCTGATGCATCTTGCATAAAGTAGACACCCTACATGAATGTGGTCTTAACATGTGTGTGGGGATTCTAACCAGGGGAAAGGCCAGTCTCTTCTAGGGGGTTTGCAATTACGAGTTACTGAGGAAATCAAGGCCTAGTTCTGGAGACGCTGCACTCCGCGCTGACAGCTCCACAATGCAGGCAACTCAAGAGTCACTTCTGTCGTGACACGTGAGCTTCTGCTACCGCCATCTCCTCCAACTGCCAAGTTGAACCCAGGCAGACAGGATAGACGAGAATTCACTTACAATGCTGCATGCCGAAGCTAGGCAAGTAATTGGGATGGAGAGGTGAGAAAGTCTCTGTACTAAACCAGGCCACTGTAGGCCTGATCACAGCTTAGTAATTCCCATCTTATCTGTCAAGAAGCACAAATACATCGTAAGGTTTGTTAGCCTTTCACAGTGACGGAGTGAAATGCTGCCCATGAGCAGAGACGACAAGCCGTTTGTTGGGTTTTACAAATGTACCCAGCGCTCTGGGAGAACTTTTGGGCTGCACAGCACAGGAGGGCCACCACCCACAGGTGGAAGGGCTCAAAAGCTGTGCTACAAGAAGTGTGACCTGAAAGCCAGCATAAGTCACTTGTATACAGAGGAGTAAGCATCACCTTGTGAGGTTCAAGACTGGCCTGAGGCAAGCACGTATCTTAAACGTAAATATGTCACTAGTTTTAAAACACCCCAAAACTTTGGAGTGACTGAGAAAGAGAGATACTGCGTGGATCTTAAATATTCTCCTAAATCTCTAAGTCTCACTATGGCTGGAGAACAAAAACCAGTCTACCCTAAACTCCACTGGCCTTTTGACCAACGCTAGGCAGATTGCACATGACTGAACTCCAGGCATCTCTGGGCATGTGTAAGAGAGGAAGCTGAAGGCTTGCCATGTTCCACAGTGGGCACAGTGTAAGTCGGAGACATAATTTATGAGCTATGCAATGCTGCAAGGCCGATACTCTTTCTAAAAGCACTAACCGTGGCAGACATTTCCACCCGGAAACTATGGAATTACTATCCGACTTAACATACCCCCGTACTTGATGCAGGAAAGGTACATTCTTGCCTCCTTTTCCCAAATGAGAACTTCTAAGAGTACTTTCAACTAGGTAGAGTAATATATGCCTACAATACCAGCATCAAAGAGGATGAGGTAGGAGGACCATTAGCTGGAGCCCAGTCTGGGCTACATAGTGAATTTGAGGCCAGCTATGTTTTATATAGGTATACATTAAAAAAAAGTAAGACCATCTTTTAAAAGAAGAAAAGTACTATTTTTACTGACCTTTTTCCATCTTCCATCTTACTTTCTTTAGTGTACAAAAAATCAATTAAAAATAAATACCCTGTATATTAAGAATATTAATATCTGCTGCAAACGCTGATTGCACTCCAGCATGAACCAGTAAAGCCTGGTCCACGACAGCCTCCCACCAGCAGCTAACTGCCAGATTTAATAGGCTTAAATTGTCTCTAATGGATGGCAGGCTTTCACAGATATGGGATTTTAGAGCGAAGACACGGCCAACCGCTCACTCTGTTGCTTTTGCGAGCATGTTAAATTTTTTTCTTCTTACCTCAGCCATGACGATTTTGAGCTGCGGGAATACAAAGAAATTTAGCTCACCAGATACTTGCGTTGGCTTTCAAAATGTTGATGGCGGCCTCTGCAGCTCTGTGCTTCGCCAGCTTCTTACTGGTCCCTTCACCTGAGTTAAAGATGGGAAAAGAAGAAAGGTCTCAGTCTCTGTGAGGAGGCATGGGCTCCATAGCTGTCGTCACAGTGCGAAACAAAGTCACCGTATGCATGCTTGCTCGAAGCCACCCACCACCACTTGCAGTTATATTACTATCACACTCGACCTGCACAGCCAACACCTCAAAGTCATTTTTAAGAGTATTACTTATTTGAGTTTCTGCATAAGTACATAAAACATGATTTCTATATTGACTATATTATATATAGAATAGGGATAGGCTAGATCATATCGCACCTCCTGAAGAAACAAAACTTAGCATTTTGCTCTTTGTTGTGAGATACTTATAAACTGTGTGAAAATGTACTGCTGTGATTGGTGTAATTAAGAGCTGACTAGCCAATAGCTAGGCAGGAGGTATAGGCGGGGCTTCTGGGCAGAGAGAAAGGAGGGAGGAAACAAACCTAGGAGCACAAGAGGTGCCAGTGGGACTTTAAAGAAGAACAGTAGGAATCAGAGGTCATGGAGCCATGCAACAGAATGTAGATTAAAATAAATGGGTTAATTTAAGTTTAAGAGCTAGTGGAAGAAGCCTAAGCTAAGGCCAAGCTTTCATAATTAATAAGAAGTCTCTGTGTCATTATTTGGGAGTTGGCTGATGGGACAGAATAAGACTCATTACATTTGGTGCCTAATGCATGGCATGTAAATCCACAAAGGGCCCGAGAAAGGTGGAAAAAAGGTCCAAGCAGCTTTTTGTTGGCAGCGTATACAGGCTCTGGTAGCAAGAGGCCCTGCTGCTAAGCACTTGAATGGGGTTTATAGCAACAGGTGGCACACTATTTGATGATAGGAGACTAGGTAGACCACCTACTGGAGCTGGGGCACAACAACAGGCTCCAGGCTAGTGCCCTGCAGGCATGAGGCTCCACTTTCACCAAATTGAGGGGGATGGAGCCAGCTGCCAGAGATGCCCAGTGTCTGGTGTGGCCATTTAAGGTTGGTCTCGCAGTCAGAGAGGCTGCAGGTGCACTGCAAAGTGGTTCAGACCAACGATACCTTTAAACAGATATAGTTTAAAAATGAATATAGACAGTCATAAAAAAAAGTTTAAAAATAAAAAAAATTAAGTCTTTAAAGAGAGAGTAAAATAATATTTAATAAATAAGTCATGTAAAAGATGGGAAATACACAGGGTGCCTGGATCCTGTATGGTACTTTGTTGACTTTGAATTTTTCAAATACTAACGTACAAAAAACAATATCTGATAAGAGACATTGGATTATGGAAACTACTGAATTAAACCAACTTATATATTTTAAGAATGTTTTCACTTCAGAATGGAAATCAGAAAATATGTTGCATTGGGAGAAAAGTTATACCTTTGTTTCCACTAGAAACAAAAAGTTATGGTTCTCTTCAAAATTAATGAAGATCAGATTTGATTGGGGGTAAGGCTTCTGAAAATGTTGGGTACAGACATTAAAAAGAAACCAAAAAAGACTAAAGGACAGATGTTGAGTCTACTTTTGAACAACCACTAGTCTCAAGTATTTTACATTGATGTGGATTTTTGTATATTGATACAACAAAAATAACCTCTATATTTTCTACTCTTATTTAAGGTATTATACCCATGCATCTCACTAACAAATGTAAAGTTCTAGTCCTTCAAAGTTATTAAGGATAATAAAGAAAAACAGGTTAATAGTTCATCATCTGTAACAATCAAACTTATAGTCATGTTAGGTATATTTCAAGATCAAACAGAGATATATTTAAAATGGATAGATGGTGTTCAAATACTTCACAGGCTTGCAGAAATATGGAATTTAAAATGTTTTAATAACATAAGGCTTTTCATGACAGTGAACCATGTCTGTTCCTAGCAGCATCAATTTACTTCAGAAAAGGATGATGGGCATCAAATAACCTCCATATGGAGTTTGCTTTCAATGTGGCAAAGCTAGCCATTTGGGCTAGCCATAAGATAAAGTTAGGCCCTTGTCTTGACTGCTGACAGTATGCTGTCCACACTGGGCGAGCAGGACACAAAAGAAAGTGACTGTTGAAATTTGCCAAGACAGGGTAGGATAGTCCTTCAAAATTCCTGCTTTGCAGAAAAGTCTGTCAGATATTCTAGGCTCATAGGCCTAAGATGGATGCCCCAATGTTACAGAGGAATCTTGGGTGACTGCCCAGGTAGCCAGATAACTCTGTTATTTCTATAATTTTGGAAGTTACTTGCTCTATACTTCCTGTTATATCCTTCTCAGATCTTTGATGGAGTTAAAGACTAGGTAGTTAGAGTTTTATAGTTTTCCTTATTACCAAATTTAAAAAAAACTTACATAAAAGATATAAAGTTTATAAGGTTGAGAGACATGAAAGTTTAAGTTATTTTAAGTTATTTAAGTCTAAGATATTTTTGGGTCTAAAAAGATATTTTTAGGATGGTAATACAAGTTATGATAGAAAATGGTTTAGGTATAAAACTTTGCATTCACTAAGATAGATTAGATAATAGAGTATTTTCTCCAAATATGCCAAATACAAATGAACTGGATATTTTGAATGCAATTCTCACCTGATAACTGTTCTTATTGTATATAGTTTTACTATATTGTAGTTAAAACCTTTCCTTTTCATTTAGACAAAAAGGGAGAAATGTTGAGGGATGTTTGTACACTGTGTGAAAACGTACTGCTGTGATTGGGTGTAATAAAAAGCTGAATGGCCAATAGCTAGGCAGGAGGTATGGGCAGGACTTCTGGGCAGAGAGGAAGAAAGCAGGAGGTGAATCTGGGCGTATGAGAGACATCAGCCAGACTCTAAAGGAGTCAGACATGGCACAGATCACAGGTAACTGAGCCAAGTGACAGAGTGTAGGTTAAAATAAATGGGTTAATTTAAGTTTAAGAGCTAGTGGGACAAGCCTAAGTTAAGGTTGAGCTTTCATAATTAATAAGTCTTCGTGTCATGATTTGGGAGCTGGCTGGTGGGAGAGAAAAAGAGTCACTACAGTTCTTCCTTTTTCCCAGACAGAGAGGTTCTCCTGCAGCAAGCTTTCTCTAAGGAAGTCACTGACAGTCCCTGTTCTAGCTAAGCAGGCAGGATTACACATCACGCGCAGCAGAGCAGAGAAGGGTCAACATACAGAAGACGAAGCTTACGTCATAAGTCTTCCACACAATCGGTAATAGCTAACGTGGGTAGACAAGGAGAGGGCGTTGGAAGACCTAACTCTTCATTTCAGCCATCACATGAGGTAAATGGTGAAGTCTGTCTTTTCCTTCTGAGTTCAAATCCCCAAACTCATGGAGAATGCTTTCAAGTATGACCCTCATGTATCAGAGGACACAGAGTCCTATACTCCCTCATCTACTAAAACAGACACTGGCTGAACAGAATCTCTTCTTCTCTAGGACTGACAGTCAAATGTATGTTAACAGATACCGGAAATATAAAGGGCATGTCGTAAGCCTCAGTGTAAGCTATAAGGAGGCACACGAGATCAGCAGCTTGCCAGGTGTGACCATCCAGTCCCACCTGTTCAGAAGGCTGAGGCAGCAGGACTGGGAATTAAGGGCCAGCTTGAGCTCCCACCAGAAACCATATCAAAATCAAAAAGGAAAAAAATTAGCAGTTTAGCTACTCTTGGAGACACTCGGGAAGTTTTCATGGGGGAAGGGAGAACTATATAGACTCCTAGAAGACAAGCCAAAGCCAGTGAAGTGAGGACGAGCCGAGGGCTGGGAGAGCCGAGGATTGGGAGAGCCGAGGGCTGGGAGAGCCGAGGATTGGGAGAGCCGAGGGCTGGGAGAGCAGAGGATTGGGAGAGCCGAGGGCTGGGAGAGCCGAGGGCTGGGAGAGCCGAGGATTGGGACACTGCAGCAGAAAGGTTTCTATGTCAAATAGAGCCACGAACCACAGGGAAGGATAGGCTGGAATAAGGAAGACAACTGTCTTAGTTAGAGTCTCTATTGCTGCAACCCAAGCAAAGATGCCTTGAAAGCACACAGGTAGATGGACTGTTCTGTACATGGCTGAAGACAAACATCTCAGAATTATTAGTCTTTAGATAATCATTGAAGCTGTGAAGGCTGATAAGTTACCATAGGAAGGCAGGGTAGAAGAGATTAAAGGCAGGACGGTTGAAATAAATTGCTCATCTCTAACCTAAAATGCATCAAAGGGGAAAATGGCTATTTTTTTCTTGAACAGGCCTAAATATTTGAAAAATAACCAGCTAAAGTAGTAACTCAATCTAACGTTGTGGATTTCTATAAGAAACGTTCCAGCCTATACATACAATCCATCTGCCCCCACCACACACAAATAAAAGCAGCCTCAATTTCTTGAAGTGGCTTCAATGACTAGAGGCAACCCCAGACTCCCAGAAACAAATACATGATACATTCAGACTAAAGTTCCATTAGACAGCGAAACTTTAGCTTTTCCTAAATTTTTTCTTTGTATATTTACAAATTAAATTATTCAACATTTTTAATGCTTTCAACTAAATAAGTATATAGGAAAATGATGTCCACATTTACAAATGTCAGCTCTGGTTGCCATTTTCTCAGGCTCAAGCTGAAAGAAGATCTGAATCTGAACTATAAAACTTTATTGCTCTGTGACCTTGGAAATGTGGCTCATGAAAATGTCTCTGAACTTCCTCCTTCGTGAGTGAAAGGAGAAACAATCTTAGACAAAATACCTGTGTAGTATCGAGAATGAGAGGCTATTGTGCAATACAGTGGAGAGGGATACAGTATAGGAGTCTCTGCCTTCCCCATATGTCATGGACACAGACTCAAAAGTGGTACCAAGAATTCAAAGTTCCAGATGGGTCCATGAAGGGAGAAACTCAGAAAATTCTAAGGTCGTGCCTACTAGTATCTGTATTTGTCACTTTGAAAGGTACCTACCGACCTAGCTATGACAGCCCCAAGGACATTTCCAGCTTCTAATTCTTAAGAGGAACTTTAGCAGGCTCCCTCGGTATAGGAAGAGATGTGCTGGATGCTTGGAAACCTTCTGAGTTTCTGAGCTTTTTTACATCTTAGGGAGACAAAAATTAGGGAGAAAACAAGAGAACGTGATGCTGGAGTCTGTCGTCTGCTCCCAGAGGTGTCTTAGATAAAGGGGGGAGGGTACTTTTCCTAACTAAAAAGCAACACAAAGTCGGGACCGCCAATCCACATGGTCGTGGCGGTTAGCTGCATACAGACCTGTGCAAGTTATGTCACCAACGGTTACTCTGAAGGTGAAAGTGGGCACGTGTATTTGCACATCGGATCTTTCACATTCATAAACTGGGATGTTCTTGGTCTTCATGCCGTATTCGTGCAATACCTGAATCGGTGTTTTCCCAGGCTTGGCTGTTATCATCTTGCCCAAACTGCAAAAAACCAGAAAAATGGACGCTTTGAACGACAAAACTGAAAGGGAAGCAAAGAGCATCCACTTGTCAGTTTTGACAGCCACAAACGGTGACTAGAAAGCTCCAAGGCGCCCCAGTTGCCAGGAACAGTGGCAAGGCCTGGGCACACCTGCGTCTGGGCACTACAGCCCATAGAGACGAGGGTAGAGAGATCGGTATAGTGAGAACTTGAGCGCAGTGGGAGGGATGCTGAAGGAAACCGAGTGGGCTCGGGAGTTGCAGGCTAGATCAAGCCTATACCCGGGTTTGTGTAGCACCCCTGGTCATAGCTTCCAGAACCTATAGTCGCCGGAGGGGCGGGGCGCGCGACAGATCCCGGGCCCGAAGGGCGGGCCCAGCGCCGAGCCTTGGGAAGGAGGAAGCTTTACCCAGAAGGCAGCCCGACAGCCGGCTCCCCGCCCCGGCCCCGCTGCCCACCCCTGTCTTGGGCCTGCGGCCTCGACGGCCCAGGGCTGACCTGAAGGTCCCGCTGTCCTCGCGCTCCAGCGGCGGGGCCTCGGTGCGATGCCTGCTGTGGGACATGGCGAGAAGGGAAGGCTGGGCACAGCGATCGAGAGTAATGGGGATCTGGGTCCTCCCTCTCCACGTCGGCCAGATCACGAGAGGAGCTTGCCTGCCCTGTTGCCTGGCTCCCCCTCCGATAGCAGCTTGCCTCTCTCCAGAAGAGGGACAGGCGGAGAGGGGGGGGAGGGAAAGGCGGGGCTTCGGCGCGGAAGAGCCGGCCACACCCCCGTCTGCCGGGCCTCTCGGCCACGCCCCCCTCTGCCATGCTCCGCCCCTCTCTTGTACTGTTTTGTTTTGTTTTGTTTTTTCTCTGCTGCTGTGCTGGGCGCCTTTCCTATTCCTCCTCTGCGAGTCCCTGCCCTTCCAGCTACGGCTTGCGCTCTGGTTGGGTTCCCTGAGCTTCTCAACGCCTGGCCCCAGGTCCCGCCCTCTCTGCCAGTCCCGGATCTTCCCAGTTTCTGCCTGCGCCCCGCTTCTGTTCCCTAGGTTTTCCCCTCCCTCCTTTAGTGACGCAGAGGCTCAGTCCTTTGTCCTTAGAGGGAGGCCCTTTCCTTTCCGGTGAGAAAGCTTGTAGTAGGCCGAGAGCCAGCAGGTCTGAGCAGCAAGGGAGAAAGCTAAGGGTTGGACTACTTTAAGGAAGGCTCGGATATTCTGAATGCAAAATTGCGAAGAAAATCCCGCATTTTGAGACGCGAGAGTGTCGGCTAAAGGAGCAGTAGGCTATCCGGGTGGGCTAGTTTTAGAATACTGGATGCCTGGACACCTCTTCTGCCTGGCCGGCTCCTGTGACCGGCAGGCTTTAAGAATAGTGCTTCTCAACTTTCCTAATGCTGCGACCCTTTAATACAGTTCCTCATGTTGTGGCGACCCCCAACCATGAAGTTATTTCTTTGCTACTTCATAACTATAATTTTGCTACTGTTATGAACCATAATGTAAAGATCTGATAGGCAGGAGATCTGGTAGGCTACCCCCAAAAGGGTTGCGACCCACAGGTTGAGAACCGCTGCTTTAGGAGGCTGTAGAAGCTGCAATGAGACTAGAGACTCGGGACTAGGGAGGTAGAAGGCACAGCAAGAATATTTAGAGCAGTGTCCAGGATCGCTCTTCCCACCCCGCTGACTGGTGCAGTGGAGAGTGCTGGCTTTAATCTGGGATGCTCCACCTTCAGAGTGTGTTGTGGGTGTGTCAAGTCAGGTTTGTGAACTGCTTTGCACAATGGCTCCAGAGCTTACTTGATGCTCTGGAATTGAATTCTAGAAGTGCTCTCATGAACAGGCTGCTAAAAGTTATTTTAAAAGTAAAATTTTTAGGTCGGCTTACCAAAGTAATTCGTTTTGAGATGGAATTTGGTTTTGGTTGCATGGAAGCCCAAACACTTGGATGCAAGTAAAAATATCCAGAATCGAATCAAATTGAATTCTGCTGGCCCTTCCTTTATTTCTGCATATTAGGGCACTACCCAATAATACTATTACACTTATGTGTTGATGAGGTTTTTGTAAGGACCACTTTCAAAACATGTCAACCACTTATGATCATATAATATCTCAATATAGGTTTTTCCCCCAGAATTTTATTTTAATGGGTCCACAAAACTCCTTGAAAACAAGCCAAAACTTTATATAACTATTTCTATAGGTTAAGTAATTGGGAGAGGAATAAGCAAAAAAAAAAAAAAAAAAAAAAAAAAAAAAAAAGGAGGTAAATCCAGCAGAACCCTATCAGGTGATGTGGTTTGAGCCATCAGTTTCAAAGTAAGAGACTTCCATAGTAGTTTTTAATATGTAATGGAATTTGTAACTGAAAGCCTTCAGAGTTCTATAGAGAGCCGCTTACAATCGTTCCTCTATATCCTGTGAGTTGATATGTGGTATTAAACATATAGTTTTATAAGCATGCTAAATCCCAGAGGAGAGAAATGCTCATGTAATGATCTGTATCCTGAGAGGATTCAAAAGTGCTTTTCTGTTGCCAAAATGCTCCTGCTGGCCTTGTGAAGGAATTCCCCTTGGATCGTGTCCCCTGTAGATGGTATCCAGGCCTGACATCTACAGGGGACAGGATCCCTTTCCTGCAGGACTCAAAGCCTCCTTGCCAGCTGGTTCATTACTGGTGGCAGAGCACTCCCAACTGTGGTCTCCTCAAGGACACTGGCAATATGTTTGAATTCGTTTCTGTGTACTGTAGCTGTAGACGGCCGGTCCCACTTAGACTCGTTTTTTAGCGCATCCTTTTACAGCGCTTTCTATTATTCATGACCGGAGTTCATGAAGGGAGGCAGGGTTGTGAACTGCACACCGGTAAAGGATCTGGTGAGAGCATGCTTTAGAGTTTCAGTCTGCGCAATTGGATTTAACATCACACAAGGCGAAGTCTGGCGTCTGGTTTTCCTCTTCAAAAATGGGTTCGTTGCTTGAGGGTCGTAGTCGATGACGTCTTGATAGTACTATGTTTGCCGCTGCTACCAAGAGCTTTGTTAAGCAAGTTGGAGATGGAGGGAGATTAGTGCCTGTTCCGAGCCTCAGTGAAGCCGACAAGTACCAACCCCTGAGTCTGGTGGTGAAAAAGAAGCGGTGTTTTCTGTTTCCTAGACACAAATTTACCTCGACGCCCTTCACACTTAAAGATATTCTCATAGGAGACCGAGACATCTCGGCCGGTAAGTTTAAATGATCCGGCGTGACTCTCCATGGGGCTATAGCAGTAATAGCCCGACCGAGGTCGTATAGATTAGTTATACTAATAATACACGTGTTATGACTAAAATCAGCCTTTATGTGGTAGTAGCATCGTTACGATGAATAATGCTTAAGTCTTGATCGTGTCAAATCTCTTGTTGCCTGATTTTTAAAATCAGCTATCTGATGTTTTAAACTAAACACAGCAAGGAAATGATGATTTCCGTTCTGTATAATACCAGGTATTATCTGGTCTTACCCATTTCACATGATCAATAAGTGAAAGTCATCATTTAGATAGGTAAATGCAATTTTTTAAAATGTGGGTCCTGGGGGATTAGGCTCAGATCCTCATGCCTGCAAGCACACTCTTTACCAGCTGAGCCATTCCCCAACCCTGAACTCTGTTTTTAAAACTGGATTATAAAATAGTCATGATGTCCAGTCATCGGTTATAGACACTTGTTTTCATTTCAGCTACCCGAGGGATCTTGATTGCTGTAGATGTATTCTGTTATCTGAACAGAGAATTTGAGTTTGTTTTAAGTACACTTTTATTTTTTTTGTAGTAAAATTGCCTGAAATTCTACTTTTCGTGATGTTGGAAATACTGTCTAATTAACATTTGGGCAAAAGAGTTTTTTTCAGTCACGTTAGAATAATAATGTACGAATTTGAGACGTTCACAACATATCAAGTTCCTTCTCCTAAGGTATTTCATCTTATCAGTTACTGAATTATGAAGATGAGTCAGATGTCTCCCTCTATGGGAGGCGAAACAACCACATCGTGAATGACGTTGGGATTAATGTTACTGGATCCGATTCCATCGCGGTCAAAGCTTCCTTTGGTGTAGTAACCAAACATGAAGTGGAGGTGACAACGCTACTCAAGGAAATTACCGCGCGGTCAGTACAAAGTCCCCGATATACTGCAGTATTTCCATTAAATGATTAACTGTACCGACTCCAAAGCCAAGAACGCTTAAAACATTTGAGTCATATTTTACAAGTTAGTTTATATTTTTTATTCATTTGAAAGACTCCGTGTTAGCAGCTGATTAGTACCCAAACCAGATCAAAAATCATTTGATATACATTTTCAGTTCTTTCACAGAACATCACTATGGTTCCGCACAATTTGCTAAATTATTAAATTGAAATCATGCAAACTGTGCTTCCAGCAGACTCTAGGCAGGATAGAACATTCTATAGAACTAGGAGATTCAGGTGAAGTAATCCTTGGGAGAGTGAGACAGGAGAATCAATCACAAGTTCAAAGCCTGTTAGGGCTACATCGTGAGTTCAAGTCCACCTTAAGCAAATTATTGAGGATCTATCTAAATAAAGAGGCGGTGGGTAGCTGGGAGGCGGCTCAGTGATAGAACACTGGCCTCGCACGCACAAAGCCCAGGGTTTAGTACCCCGGTTCTACAAAACTAAAGCCACGCCTCCATTTTCTAAAACAAGGAAAACCACTGAAGGGAGAGGCGATTGAGTGAAGTGATTTGTACTTTCTGGTTTGCGTTACGCCTGCCTCGACCAGCACATAGTTGGGTTGGACCACAGATACCACAACAGGTGCCTTCGTTTACCATGTGTGATCACGTGGTAAAGCATGCTTTTTCATTTTATTCTAGAAAAATTAACTTTGACCACAGTTTGATCCGCCAATCAAGGAGCAGCAGGAAAGCGGTGCTGTGCGTGGTCATGGAGAGCATCAGAACCACACGCCAGTGCTCCCTGTCTGTGCATGCTGGCATTCGAGGGGAAGCCATGCGGGTAAGACACACTCGGGGGGGGGGGGGGGGGGGGGGGGGGGGGGGGGGGGGGGGGGGGGGGGGGCACTAGCTAACTGCGGAGCTACTGTGGAGTTTTTAAAAAGTTACTCATAATGGGTTTCTGCCTTTCGTCAGAGGCAGGAAACCAAGAGCCTCAGAGTGGTTGGGCTTCCGAATAAGGAGACCAGGCAAGGCAACTTGGGTTCTAAACCTGTGTAATACAATACAGACAAGTAATCCTTGTGAATGTATGTATATACTGGAGTTCCTCCAATTAAATAGTACTCGAGTGTTGTATTAAGAACAAAAAAGTAAGTCCAGATATTATAGTCTTTGATTTTGCTTTTGAGTAATGCAATTCATACTGAATTTTAAAAGCTGAGTTTTCAACATTTTTTTTGCATTTAGTTATTTATTTAATGCTCTCCATGTGTGTGCGAGCGTGCATACGCCACAGTGCGCATGCTGATGATGTCAGAGAACAAGTTGTGGGGTCGGTTTTCTTTTTCCGTACGTGTGCCCAGGTGGCCGGGAGCTGTGGCAAGTGCCCGTGTCTGCTGAGCCATATCACCAGCCCTGAATTTAGGTTTTCTGTGAAAGTAGGCTTTTTCTAATTAACAGCATCAATAACCAAATATGCTTCATATTGTGTAAATCCTTTTAAAAGTTAAAAAGTAGAAAACAGAAAGTCAAGAGAACTGCCTTGAGAGAACTTAGATTTGGTTCTTTGCACCCTCATGGTGGCCAACAAGTGGTTGTAACTCCAGTTCCAAGGGATCGGATGCAGGCACACACACATTAAGATAAAAATAAATAAATATTTAGAAAAATTTTTTAAAAAATAGGAATTTATATTGCTTATTCTTACCAACCAATGGCACCTAGTAATGATTTGATAGGGTTAAAGCCAATTGTTAGGTGACATTTTGTTCTATAGTAAAGAACACGAACGTATGATATTTGCAGGAAAATAGATGGAACTGAAAATTGTCAAGAGAAATAAGCCAGACTCAGAAAGGCAAATATTGCATATTTTCTCATATATGTAGACTTGAGCTTTAAGTGTGTATGTGTGTGTGCGTGCCCATGTGCATGTGTTTGTGTACAGGGCATGAAACGGGGAAGAAGACCGTGAAAGGGGAGGGAGAGATTGGGGGCAGGAGGGAATCCGTGTGACCTGAATGCGGAAGGAAGGGAGTGGAGACTAGTGCGAAGGTGGAAAGGGGAGGGCAGTGGCAGGGGGCAAATTAAAGTGCATTCACACACATATACACACACAAACACACACACATACACACACACATACACACACACATACACCATTATGAAACCCATGAGCTTGTATACCACTTTACTTTAAAGTGGGACGTGTTACTGCTCTGTCTATGAAGTACTTGTTGCATAAGCGTGGGGATCTGAATGTGACCCGTGGCAACCGGAGGAAAGCTAAGTGTTAGAGTGTGTGTCTGTGATTCTGTCGTGAGGGAGGTGGCATAGGGAGGAGGATCTCTGGGACAGGCTGCCCTTCTCATAGTCACAGAGAAAAACCTCTTAAAATACAGGACTCAATGGTCATCTTTTCCACCCTCTCCAGCTGCAATTTAACATATTACACATAATCTATGTACGATGACCAAGACATCTCAAGAATACGGGGTGCCATCTCATATCCATCACTACATTATGAGGGTTCTGTCCAGAATCTATATTCAGATATCCTCCAAATTCTGATCAGCATCGGTCATTTGAGGGGCACAAGCTGAAATGCTGACTCGATGATGGTCATTTTGGGGGGGCTGGGAAAGCTGCCTGCACCTGTGGGGCTTCTGAAGCAGATGGGCAAGGCTTGAAGAAAAGGGTTTACTGTAAGAAACTGACTTCAACCCTAAAGTCAGGAAGCTAAAAGGTCGCTGGCGTAGATCATACATGGGAGTTCACCATAAGGTATAACTGAGGCAGGGCTGAGCTTTACTTGGGTAGGTGGTCGTGTTTTGTTTTGGGTGGGATTATGCCCTGCTATGCTCTGTAATAACGTTATTTTATCCATCCATTTGCTGCAGTTTCATTTTATGGATGAACAGAATCCCAAAGGAAGGGAAAAGGCTATTGTTTTCCCAGCACACACAACGATAGCATTCAGTGTTTTCGAACTCTTCATTTACTTGGATGGTGCCTTTGGTGAGTAAAAGCGCTGCCTGGAGCTCCCGTGACGATAGTTTTAGGGAGAATGTAATAGGAATGGATCTCTCCCTCCTGCCCCTCTCCCTCCTCCGTCCTTCCTTCTCTGTCTCCCCTCCCGTTTTCATGATTATAGAAGCACTATGCCTTCATATGCTAGGGTGGAATAGCTGGGAAATCACCCCCCTCTAATTTCCCAGCACCTCTTTTGAGCTTTGTAGTGAAGACTCCATACTACCCCACTTACAACTATAGGTTAGGAATAAAACAAGGTCCATTGACAAAATATGCCTTAGCTTTTACGGGAAGGTCAATAATGACTTCTAATAGGTAGCTGTTGCAGTGGTAAATAAGGAATCTAAAGACAGTAAGGTGTCTGGTGCCCAAATGAGTAATATTAATTAATTAATAATCAATGAATTTATTTGTACCTGTCTAGACATAATTTTTTAGCTTCATATTCCCTTAAAATAATAAAGAAACACTCTAGGATTTAGTACTTCCTCTACAGTCATCTTGTGTGGTAGATCAGTACAGCTCACCTGGCTTTCTATATCTCAGGGGACTTTAAAGTTAGTTCACTGAGTCATAACAAGACCAGATACAGCCCCAAAAGGACCAGGCAAGGGAGCCCCTAGTTACGGTAATTTACATCTGTAGACCTTCTTTGTTAGTTTCTGTAGTCCTGGGGAAGGAGGCTTAGGAAACCTAGAAATGAAACTACATTCTAAGTAAACTCAACATGGAGCCCTGCAGCTGTTGGGTTTGACAGTTATATTGACTATATTGTTGAGAGGAATATAAAATATCCTTCATCAAAATGTAGTCTCTCTATGAGCACAATGTCTGGCTTTTTATTTCCAGGAATTTATGCTCTAGGTGTACTGAGACATAATGTACAGCGATAGAGGAACAAACAGGGTCTTTAGTTTCTAAAACAAAACATTGGAAACATCGTTAGGGGACGCAGTAGTGGTCCATCCCATGAGCACAACAGAGGAGGACAAACCATGTTGGGAGTAGGGGTAGCTCTGGCCACACAATGGGCTCTGAGAGATATTTTAACCAACTATGTATGCTATGGAATTGTTTCTAGAAACATACGTTAAGTCTGCGCATACAGAGCGTCTAAAGGATACACAAGGCCCGTGCCAGACAGGCTGGGTACAGGACGAGCTGGAGGCATGTCACTGTACTATCTTAATCTCTAAATTTTGTACTTGCAAATGTGTAAAGTTTAGCTTTATTAAGAGAAAACCCAATGAACTGCAAGTATGGGAATTCACGTCCTCTATGAAATACTCAACTATTAGGTAATTATAACAACATCTCCAATTGTTTTGCAGACCTCTGTGTCACATCAGTGTCAAAAGGAGGGTTTGAAAGGGAAGAAACGACCACCTTCACCGTGCTCTACAGACTGAGGAACATCCTCTTCGAAAGAAGTACGTCTGCCGAAGGGGTTTCTGAAGGCTTTCCTTCTGTGTCAGGCTATGAGGCTGCTCCTCATTCAGCCGCCAGTTAACACGTTTAAAGCCCAGTTATTTCCTGATGGATGGTTTGGATTGATACCCTTATCAACACAGCTTGGGCTGCGTGGCTGTTTGGACTTCTAACACGTTTCTGGGTTCTGTTTTGCAGATAGGAGAGTGATGGACGCCATCTCTCGCTCCCAGCTTTACCTGGACGATCTCTTTGCCGACTACTATGACAAACCCCTTAGCATGACTGACATTTCCCTCAAGGAGGGGACTCACATCCGTGTGAACTTACTAAACCACAACATTCCCAAAGGGCCCTGCATACTCTGTGGAATGGGGAACTTGAAGCGGGAGACGGTTTACGGTTGCTTCCAGTGCTCTGTGGATGGGGTGAAGTACGTGAGGCTCCATGCGGTCCCTTGTTTTGATATTTGGCACAAAAGAATGAAATAAAAGGAAAAAGGAGTAAGCTTTGTTGGTGGGTTTTTGGTGTTTGGAGACAGGGTTTCACTGTTTCATCTTAACTGTCCTGGCACTCTGTAGACCAGGCTGGCCTTGAACTCACAGAGATCCTCCTGCCTCTGCTAGGATTAAAGGTGTGCACTACGGTGCCCATCTAGTTTTGTTGGTGTTTAATGTACTATTGTTCCACAAGCCTTAAGTTGTTCAGGTTTGCTTGGACGAACTTTTTAAAAAGCAGAAGGCCTTTTAGGTAGCGTTTCCACTCGTGAGGTAGAGATGAGGATACCACTGTCTTCCTCACAGATTTTTTTTTAAAGATTTATTTATTATTTATTATGTATACAACATTCTGCCTCCGTGTATGCCCACACGCCAGAAGAGGGAGCCAGATCTCATTACAGATGGTTGTGAGCCACTATGTGGTTGCTGGGAATTGAACTCAGGACCTCTGGAAGAGCAGACGGTGCTCTTAACCATTGAGCCATCTCTCCAGCCCCTTCCTCACAGATTTTTATGAGGATTAATAACATTGCTTATATTAAGCAAAACCTTATTACAAAATTCAAAGAGAAGCACTCTTTCACAAAAAACCTGTCCGTTTCTTCACAATCCCTTGGGCATCTGGGTCTCATTTTAAGTTGCTCTTTATATTTAATCCCATTTTAGTTCAGCCGTTAAAGATGACACATGGGCACAAGTGGTTACTTTGGGGCCCTAGGTTTGGTAGGAGGAGAAAAAAATGTTAATAATTTAATATATTACTAAATGTTTAATCGTGGTGTCAGGTGCTTAGCCTGGGCTCTGCGCACAGTTAACACTGTAGCTGGCAGTGGCAATGGGCTACCACTCCATCCGCTAACTTCGCTCTGCACAGTGGGTGCTGCCACTTAAGAGAAACAGGGCAGGCCTGTGTCTTTGGACGTGTTTAATGAGTTTAATATATTTTGTTTGCAAATTTCTTTTGGGGAGTTAGCCAGGGCCTTGCTTACGTTATCAAAGCTGTTCTAAAAATCCTGGGCTCACATGACCTGCCTACCTCATCCTCAGGAATAGGTGAGTTATGGGTTATATGTGGGCCTGGATCTTTTTTTTTTTTTTTATCTATTCTCTAAGATACCTGAAATTTTCATATACCAACAGCTAAATAATTATCTTTTATTAAAATTGTAAAAATGTTAAAAAATTATAGCTTAAATGAATAACATCGTTACTGTTAGATTCACCCAAAGGCATGAAGCAATTACAAGAAACAGACCATGGCACACTGCACATAGGTAGGATGGGTAATGGTTTATATTTAAACTGTTATTTAAAAGATGTTTCCAGGTACATGTATTCATTTAACATATGTGCTTTTTCTTTCTTCTCTTTTAGATAGAGCCTCACGTAGTCCAGGCTGTCCTTGAACTCCCTGTATAGGCCAGGGTGATGTTGGATGCCTCATTTCCCTGCCTGAATCTCTGAGTGCTGAGTTACAGGTGTCTGCCACTACTTCCAGATCCCATGGTGCTGGGGTTGAACTCAGGTGGGTCTTCAAGCATGCTAGGCAAGCACCGTTCACTGAGCCACCACACCTCCGGCTAATGGAGCCTTAACTTTAAAAAACAAATTCGGAAGTACTTTGTATAGGCTGGGTGAAGTAGTATATGCCTGTAGTCCCAGTATGCAGGAAGATGAGGCAGAAGGATTGAGTTTTGACATCAGGCTAGGCTGCACAGTGAGTTCCAGGCAAGCTTGGGCTATTACAGCAAGGCCCCATCTCATAAAAAAAAAAAAAAAAAAAAGCAAGAACAAACAAAAGCTCAACAAATGCCTTGTATGATAAATGATGGGCAAGGAAGGTGTTCACATACTTACTTAATTTCTATTTTGTGCACATTGAGGGAAGTAAACTGGTAGGCGACTTAGTGACCGGAAAGTATTAGGAAGGTAAGAGAAGGTAGTGGAGGGGTTATATTTTGTATGCACAGGTGGCATTTACTAATGTAATAGTTTCTGTAACTTCTACATTTTAGATAAAATTTCTGCTAAAATCTCAGCATTCAGAATGCTGAGGCAGGAGGATACAGAGTCTGTGCCCAGCTTGGACTGCATAGCAAAACCCTATCTCACAATGCAGAAAAAGAAAAAAAAATGTTGTCAACGACACACCCGAGAGTTAAAAATGAACAAATGTTTGGAAAGAACACATTTCAGAGAACAAAAAAAGCTTTGTTTGTTCTGAGCTCACTTATTTCAGCCAGAGCCATTCTGCTTGGCATACATAGGAAACATCCAGATTTTCACATGTTCCAGTGCCCTTCCTTTTGCAACGTGGTCCAGCATCTCTTCTCGCCTCTCAACAAGTTGGACCACATTAATGTTTTGACCACGACTCAGAACTGGAATAGCAAGGTGTCTTAGGGTTTCTATTGCTGTGGAAAGACACCATGACCATGGCAACTCTTAAAAGGAAGACAGTTAACTGGGGTGGCTCACTTTCAGTTGCAGAGGTTCATCCCATTATCATCATGGTGTTGGGGGGCACGATGGTGTGCAGGCAGACACGGTGCTGGCTACATCCTGATCAGAAGGCAACAGGAAGTAGACTGTGACTCTGAGCAAAGTCCAAGTCAAAGAAACCTCAAAGCCTGCCCCCCCCACCTTTCCTTCAACAAGACCACACCTCCCAATGGCATCACTCCCTATGAGCTTCATGGGGGCCAATTACACTCAAACTACCACACAAGACACCTCGTTCGTAGCAAAAAAGTTTAACTTTTAAAAAAAGTTAAATTTTTAAAAATGTTAATGCATTCCAGTTTGTAACCGTCATTTGCCATTACTAAGAATGCTGGAGTGGAGTGATAAGAGATAGGGAAAGGCAACCGCAACCCAAGACATGCTATGATACCAATTTAAAATTCTGGGCCAAACGTAATGGATGGGTGGGGCGGGGACAGTAAGGGATGCTGGAGAGATCACAAAGGACCGTGGTTCGATTTCCAGCACCCACTTCGTATAGCCCACAATAGGCTGCAACTCCAGCTCCAGGGAGTTACAGCCTCTGGCCTCCATAGACGCACACACACACACACACACACACACACACACACACTACTTTTTTAAAAGCTCTATATGGTAGACAGTGAGAAGAAAGATGGAAGAGTAATAATACACTTATAGTAGCGCTTGAGGAAGAAGAGTCTCGTACAGGTGATGAGCTTTAGTTTGGCCAAATTCCCCAGGCCAGAAGCTCACACCCAAAAGTACAGACTGCTGAAATTCTTCATGCATCCGAGTTATGCACAACTGACTTCTTCCTGCATGGACCTCAAAGGAAGACTTCGTACCATGCTTTTATATCCTACTATCTATAAAACATCACAAAATGCATAGAAAAAGAGCTATTGCTTCCTGGTCTCTGAGTATTCTTAGGAATGGGGCATTTTAGGAATTAAAATCTTGGATCTTCAGGATCTTTACGCGCCTCTCCTCACTGTTACTAAGAGCCGAGAAGCACTTAGAGTATTCATCCACGCCCTGAAGGAGGGTGTCACCCACTGGGATACAGGTCCATTCCCTGGTGCTACAATTTATGTTCCCAGAAGAAAATAACAGGGGACACAATCACACCTACCCCAGAGTTAGATTTGCAAAACAGCTTCACATTATCACACCAAAATTATGTTTATTAAAGGAAACATATCTTTTCAATATCAATGGAAAACAGACAACCACAACATGGAGAAAAGTGACTTTTTTTTTTTTAAAGCAAAAGTACAGTAATTTACTAACGGAGTAAATTTATAGCTCATCGTGTTGGTGCACATTGTATTCCTTGGGAGAAATGAAGCCATCTCCATTGTGGTCATTTTTCTTAAAGATGTCTTCTAAAACTGCCTTCTGATAGGACTTGTCCCGGGGCTTTTCATCTTTCTCAAAGTCCTTCTGCAAGTAAAGCTCGATCTGGAGGGCCAGACGAGAGTGTCGTTAATGATGAAACCGCACAAATGTCTGGTAACTTTGAGAAATGATTACATTAATGAATAAACATATTGAGTGATGAAACAATTTTAAGTCATGTATCTGATGGCTTACAGGGGAGCACTCGAGGACCACGGTGGACACGTGGCGGTCGGAGGACAATTGATGGACATTGGCTCTCTTTTTCCACCATATGGAATCCTGGGGACTGAACTTAGGTCGCCAGGCTTAGAGCAAGAGCTGTAGACACCTGGAAATCCTGCCAGCCCTTTAATATTTTTAAAGGTATTTCAGCTGGTTGAGGGTGGTGTACGCCTTTAATCCCAGAGCTTGGGAGACAAAGGCAGACTCTGAATTTGAGCCAGCCTGGTCTACAAGAGCTAGTTCCAGGACAGTTAGAGCTGTGACACAGAGAAACCCTGTCTCAAAAAACCAAACCAAACCAAACAAACAAAAAAAGTATTTTAAGGTTTGGTTTAGAGATACCTTTGAAACAAGGTCTGACTGGCCTGGAACTCACTATTGTAGCCCTGGCTAGCCTGGAACTCACTGTGTAGACCAGGCTGACCTTGAACTCACAGAGATCTGCTTGCTTCTGCTTCCCAAGAGCTGGGATTAAAGGCGTGAGCCATCAGGCTCAGCCCAGGAATTTTTTCGTTTTTAACTTTTGAAGCGATTTCTGAAGAGAAATGGGTGTTCAAATTATCTGTCCCTGGGGCTGTAGATTGGTGGTACTAGTCACACCAATCTGTATTACTTCCTGAAACTAAATTCTTTCTAATAATCCACTGTTCATTTAGGAAAGGCGAGCACAGTCTTATGGACTCCTATTATTTGATAAAATCTCATTATTGTTTTTGTCTCTGGAACTAATGAATCTACTGCATCATCAAGCTAATCTTCTGACATTCTCCAGTGTTGCCTGCTTGTGTTTGCAGCACAGGACATTTCTCTAAGCAAGCAAGCAAGCAAGCAAGCAGTGAAGTGCTGTCCTATTAGCCACATGCAACGTCTGCGGGTGGCTATGGTAACCCGAGACGTGCTCCTGTAGATGTAAGTCACACACCAGACTTGGGGGATCCTAAGTGAAAGCACACCTCACTGACGTTGGAGGTTTCATGCTGAAATGGTACTATTTATACTGAGTTAAGGTAAGTTAAAAAAAAAAAAAAAAACTCCTCCCCTCCCCCATTTCCTTGTCTCGAGACAACACCGTCTCTCACTGTGTTGTCCAGGCTGGTCTCAATTTATAGGCCCAAACCATTCTTCAGCTCCCTCAGAAGCTGGGACTATGGGTAGACACCACCATGGCCAACTTTGTTTTGCTTCTTAAAATGTGTACACCGTATAATTTAAAGAGATCTACGTGACAACTGTTTTTCCCTAAGGAAAACATAGTCTACCAAGCTGGAGATAATGTTCTGCAAGTCTGGGCCATTTGAAAGGTGGAGTTGAACGCTGAACTGTATTTAGTAATACACATCCATGCATAACCAATCACATGACCTTAGAATGGTCAGTGGGCCTTGCAGCAGGTTCTCAGACATGACTTTGGTCCAATATGAAGGGAGGAACATTTTTTCCCCTTTCTGCTGAGACTTAGCAATCCTATGTAAGTATAAAGCATTTTAAACAGCCTCAAACATTCTGCATTTTCTAAACCAAAACTATCTTTTCATAACTAACTAAGGTGGTATTCAAAAGCTACTCTTTTTCTATACGGTGTGTGTAAAGATACAAGGCGGTGGGCAAGAACACAACTTAAATTTTTTTTTAAAATTATTTTATTATTTAATGGTTTTGTGCCTGCAGCACCCAGAGAGACCAGAAGAGGGCATCAGAACCCCTGGAGCTGGAGTTAACTGGTCTGATGCAAGCAGATGTGGGCGCTAACTCTGGTCCTCTCCCAAGAGAGGGAACACTCAATTGCTGAGCCATCTCTCCAGCCCCACGACTTTAATTTGTGTCAGTAATGGGCTCTACACTCCTTTCGTTTTGTAATTTAATACTATACCCCACTCCCACCTTACTTAACCTGAAGAAACAATCCATTAAGCAAGGAAGTTTCTGTTAGTTCATGTTTCAGATCTGGGCTTCCACATGTATCTACTACATGGTCTGCAACAAAACATCTAACCTTTCTGAACACTATGAATACCATCTGTCAAAGAAGAGAAGTGTCTATACCTTAGGACTGGATATCAGGGTCCACGTCAACAGACGATAACTATTGTTATAACTGGGCAAAAAAAATCATTCTTACCCATCCCGTGACAGCGTAGCTGAGACCCAGCAAGATGCCTGGGAAACTGTAGTGAAGCTGAGCGTATTTTGGATCGCCTCTACTTTTATTTTCCAGAAAAGAACTGGAGACACCCTAATGTCTAGGGACATTCATAGTCCAGAAGGAACCTCCGGGTGTGGCTGAAGTAAGTAATGATAACACTGAAGACAGTTCCCCTTTAGGGACCCTGTGAAGGCCTGGTGTGTGCTGGCAGAAACTAGAGTCACCCGGGAAGAGGAAACCTCAGTTGAGAAACTGCCTCCAGCAGGCTGTCCTGGAGCAAGTCTGTGGGGTATCTTCTTGATTAATGATTGATGTGGGAGGGCCCAGCTCCCCGTGGGCAGTAGTCCTGGGGTGTAGCACACAGCAGGCAGAGCAAGCCATTGGGAAGAAGCCAGTAAGCAGTATTCCCCTGTCGACTCTGCTTCAGTTCCAGCCTCTCTCCATCCTGGCCAGTGGAGGAGCCTCAAGGAAGGACTTATTATTTATGAGGCTCCTGGAGGAGGAACTAGAGTTGTGTGGGAGAGGAAGAAGAATGGAGATTGGAGATGGAGATGTAGCTCAGGGGCTAGTGCTTGCCTAGAATGACCTTGTTCTAAATCCAATCCTCAGTCACAAAAAAAAAAAAAAAAAAAAAAAAAAAAAAAAAAAAAAAAAAAAAAAAGGAAAAGAAATAAAGACTTAGTAGTTAGGGCTGGTGGCTTGTTCTTGTAATTCCAGCCCTTGGAAGAGGTAGGAGGATTTCCACGAGTTCAAGACCAGCCTATACTACATCACAGTTCCAGTACAGCTTGGGACTAGAATGAGACCTTATCTCAACCCTGAAGTGCCTGAAATAGAAAATGGACTATTTGAAATCAAGGGCCCCCCTGCCTCATTACCTACCAAGGTGATGTTATGTTTCTAATCGCCTCTGGACGAAGGAGGAAGACGGCCAAGTTAAGTGTAGACTATGGGACTAGACAAGGCACTGTGGGCTTCCCTGAAACATTCAAGATGGTGGTACCTGGAAGGTAGGGAGTACCCAAGACTCAAAACACAGAGCCAGACAGCCGGGGTGCAATCTGGGTTTGTCATGGCAGCTAAGTACTCACCATGCCTCCTTAACATCTCCCCATCTACAAGAGATGACAGAAGTGACTGTCACCTAAGCTGTCCTGAAGACTAGATGCATTCACGCACTTACGTGCTTAGAATGGTATCTGGGACCAAGAAAGTGTGAAGAATGTGTATCATTATTACAAGTATTTATTAGTTGATCTATAGGAGGTGGACTTTTAGCTCATGATTACCATTTTCTTAGCCCACTCAGTTCAAAGTCTTGCTAGCTCTACATAATCTCATCTACATCAGAGTCCAGAGGGACAAGTCCATACAGTACTGTTGGAAAGAAGTCTATCTTTCTAGTGTAGCTGCCAGAAGAGGCTAGCTTGGGACTTTTCTTGATTGATTGATTGATTTGCCAGAATTAGTAATTGAAACCAGGGCCTTATGGATATTCGGGCAAGAACTCTACTATTGAGCCATAT